ACAGAATTCTCTTCCTCCGTCGCATAAAAATAGTACATGTGAATTACATAGCAGCGACTTCAATTTTGAGGTTGTTTGCGGATTGGTTAAGGATAATAAGAATGTGCTTTCCACTTGACAGTTATCTGCAGTTAAGTGAACGCTTACATGGCCTTCCTGGTCACTCCCCACGTGTGAAAACGTTTTTACAACCTCACTATAAGCTTCCTGTCAAAACTGCCACTTCACAACCCGAAAAAATCCGGTTCACTACGCTTAATGGCCGTCCAAACTGACGCGAGGTTGAAAGCGCTCAACTGTGCAACCCTGCTTGGTAATCAGCTCGAATCGTTTCATCGGGAGTTTTGTTGCATCCCAAACAAGACTTCGTGTGAATACTGAGTGAGTTTTAATGACGAACTGGAACAATATTCAAACACTAGGACGATTAATTTTGTAGTAAACGAGGCCGTTTGAAGGTTGGCCTCCCACAAAAACTGCTTTCTTTACTCAAGTTCTGGGAAGTGCCAAGATTAATCAATGCATTGGGTGACTCGTGGTGTTTGTACGGCCGATGAAGGGATATTTTTACATTTTGTGTGGGGTATGCATCACAACGGTTTGTTTAAATAATGTATAATCAATTTGAAACAAAAACCTGGACAGTTTTTCTAAATGCATGCAAAATATATTACTGATACGTTAGCAACAAGTATTTTGCGCTTACACCCACACTCTTACCTCAGGTTTTTGTAACGCTCGAAACATTTTTGTTCTTAGCTTGAATTTTGGCAGACAATGCATCTTCCCTGGTTAACACTACTTCAACCACAGAGACTGGCGAGGTTGGAAAAGCAGCAAAAATATCGCATCCACGAAGCATGAAGAGGTGCTGGTGCAAGCTTCACATAGGGTGTTCACGGTAATAAAATCGACAATGTACTCTGGGATCCTACTACTAGCCAGATTACAGTACAAGTAAAATCATGGATAAAATAACTTGAAATTGAGATGATTTCTCCGGAAAAAACTTCGCTAATCAGGTCAATGGGGTCAATCGATGCCTCTTTCAAAGGATCGTGCAATCATTTGCCTCCAGTCGCATAATTAAATCCATAAAAATGCTATGGAGCATAGAGGATTATAAAAAAGGGCTTACTATTTCTATGATTGTTGTGTGAAGCAGTTTTTGGTGCATTAAGACTTTACAATAGCCCGCCAAAACGAGTTTTGAGGGCTAGCTTAAACCACGCCGGGGCCTTTGTGTTGAGTCAGGCTCGCTTATGTTACCCTGAGTACCTCCGAAGATCAAGGAGACCGGAGGGGACGAGGCGCAACCGTTCACTAGACAGCTCAACGAAGTTGTGCTGCTTGATACATTTGGGTGAACTAGCTAAAATACAGA